TGGGACAAAAAAAATTATACCTAGAGTTTCAACCTTTGATAAGTTTAGCATTTACATCCTCAACTAGACAAATATGACATGCATGTTTTCAACCTTTCAAAGTTGTGCGAGCATTGTCTCATGAACGTATGTAAAACACAAACTTAACTCTCACCCCTAAAATATATATTTGTACATAAATATAACAAAAAGCACACCATCTACCAATAAAAATTTCATCGGGCATTATTTCTTCGCCCTTTCCCCAAAGAATTATACTTCTTGTACATCACCCCTTACACAAAGGGTGACATAACGGCCAAGTGACGCCTCCTCATTGGAGGGGCACCAAGGCCATGTGGGGCCTCGGCGCCCCTCTAATGAGGAGACGCCACTTGACTTTTATGTCACCCCTTGTGTAAGGGGTGATGTACCCCTAGCAAGACCATTCCCCAAAACACCAACATCACCAAAATTTTAACACGCAATTTTCACAATTTTTCCAGTAACCTCTGCCACTAGCAAATGCTGGAGAGGATCCAAATGCAAATTAGTTTTGTTTTTATTTTTGTGAATCTGTCTTCAAGGTGACAATGAATCTTCCATTGATAATTGAGATAATTTTTTTCTCTCCTAAAAATTCCGATTGGAGGCGGAGTTGTGGGGAAAACCTATTCTTTCCCGTAGAAAACTCGAGTCAACTATGGAGTGACAATGAGATACGTTTGATGGCTTTCTTCCTCTTCGATGTAATTGTTACCTCTTTTATATTTTTTCATACTTTCTTTTCCTTTTCCTCTTTTAATTTAAAAAGGTATACATTAATCATTTTAAAAGTCAAGCAGACGGTTCCGTCAAGAGGATGCCACACTCACTAATATTTAAAAGAATAGGGACTTGAGTATCACAAATGATAGGTTGTGTCATACATCACATTCATTTGATGTAAGGGACCCAACTGAAATTTACTCATTTTTTAAGTACAAAGTGGTCCCCCATTTCCTCAGTATTTCAGAAAGTGAAATCGTTAATGCTCCACAGTGAATCATTTGTGTATGTATATATCCCTTGTAAAAAAAAAAAAAGGATGAACCGCATCCTTAGCGGCCTCCACCTGCCCTGCCCTGGGCCTTGGTGAATGAGGTAAATCACAGGTTATGCCTCCAAGGGTATAGGGTGCAAGGCTGCTTGTACACTTACACTTACCCAAGAGTCAAATCCATATTTCAGGATTCGAACCTTTGACGCGGCAGCCTCAAGCAAAGCTGGAGTTCTTCCACCTTCCCCTTTTACCACTTGGAGATGTGCCCTGGGAGCTATATCCCTTGTATATATAGCGCTTGTTTGTCAGGTTAAAAATTTAATATATTTTTTTTCTTTTTTATTTTTCAATTATATATTTTTTAATAAAATAATATTAAAGAAGAAAAAAAATCCCCCCAAATCCTTCATGACAGCACATCATGGTTCTTGCAATCTACTTTAAGTATATACTATTTCAAAAATAAGAAAACAACCATTAAATATCAAAAATCAGATATTTGACATATATATATACCCACCCCACCTCCACCACCACCACTGACGCTCCGACGACCGTTCCGACGACTGCTCTGATTTCGGCGACTATTTCGATGACCGTTCCGCCGTCGATTTATTCCTGCGACTGCTCCGAATCGTGACTCTATAAACACAACATGTGACTTGTTAATATTGATATGTGACACATTTATATTGATTTGTGACCTATAATTAACCTGTGACTGTGACTTGTGACCTTAACGATTGTGACTGTGATCCGTAACCTCAATCATGTGACTGTGACGAAATAATTAACCACAGTTATATACAATATGGTCATAGCTGTCAAATTAATTGATCATATAGATCTGTGACCCGTCCGTATTGATTTGTGAATTTTAAAGGTCACAAATTATTTCTCGATCACGAATTAAAATTTTTATAAATCGCCTATTATTTCGAGGTCACAAATCAATAATTTTATAGGTCACAGATTACTTGTCAATCGGTCACATATTATAATAACTTGATTACAATTACTCAATTAACTAGTCGCATATTTCCAACCTTCTCCCCAACCGTACCCGTGCCGTCCACATCACATCACCACCATCGTCGGAACCACACAACCACCACCACAAAATTACAAGCAAGGGCATGCAATTTCACAAATTGCACTCGAAGTGCTACCCCCTAAATCTTCAAACCCTAATTCCTAGTCCCTCCATCCAAACAAGAACGCGCGACGGTAGCAGCGCTGTTACAAATACAAAGCTCAACAAAAATGGTGAAGGTTTGAAATCGAACAAGGCAGTGGTCTTCCGGAGGGCGGTTCGCGGCCACAAATCCACCATCGTAAAGAAGATTCATATCTTTGCTCGATTCATTAGCTCAGAAATCTTAAAGAAAGAAATATCATCACATCCTATTTACTTGCCAACACTTACTCCAAAAATTGTAGTGGAGATTGACACATATATCAAATTATCAATAGGGTTGGAACCGCAGTGCAATTATCCCATTGAAAGATGAAGAAGATGAGGAATTAGAAGATGAAGGGCAGCGCAGGCGCGCGGTGCTATCGCAGTGTGCTAGCAGCGACCTTCCTCCAGTGAAACTGCGATTTTGGGCACGGGGAGGACATGAATTTAGGGTTGAAAATTACTTTGGGGGGGGTAGGGTGTATATATATTAATTTTTATAAAATTATTATTAATATTTAATTAAATATAAGAACATGTATCTATGTATAAAATATTTGATTTTTGAAAATTAAAACTTGACATCTGATTTTTGAACTTGAATCTTGAAAAGTAGGGATTTCTATAATTTTCATTTAAATTATTTTACCAAAAAAAAATTTGAGCCCTTGTTTGTTTAGGATTAAAATTTGATTTTAATTCAAGTCAAAGTTAAACAATTAATATTAACCACATATTTCATGAATCTCGTAACTTTTCAATCATACATTTTAGGGATAATTGCAGCTGCGGTCCCAAACCTTTCAGATTTTTGCGCACTTTACCCTAACCTTTGATTTGTGCCAACGGAGGTCCAAGCCTTTAATAAATATGCGGCGGAGGTCCAAATGGATGGTTTCCATCCATTTGACCGTTAGTCAACCCAAAAAGTCAAAATTAATTCAATTTTTACCAAATTGAAAAGGGCAAAATGGTACTTTCAATTTTCATCATTTTAAATAGGTTTAAATATTAATTAAAAACCAAAAAATAAAAAGAAATTATAACCCTTCTTCCTCCCCAGGCTCCCGACCGTCAGCACCTCCGGCCCGAAGCCGGCCACCACCGCCACCGGCAGGCACCACCCCACTCTCTCCACCCCCAAAACGCCACAACCACAATCAAATCAAAACCTAAACCCAAATTCACAATCAAACCAAAATCCTCAAAACAAAGCAATCCATCTCCATCAGAGTCCATCAGAACCACAGCCACCTTTGCGTCTGCCAACGACAACTCTCCTCCTCGGCCTATTGATTGAACACACTGCTGCAACTCTAAAGGGAAAGTAACAGAACAGATGGTAAAGAACAACAATAATCTTATGAAAAGCCCCTGTTTGACCCCCATTTTTGGTAAGTGATAAAACCCGAGCGTTCGCAATAGCCAAACGCATGCTGTTGGTCTGTGTGTGAAAGAGAGGGAAGCATTTTTTTGTTGTTCTTCTGCTTCTGCTTTCTGGGATTCCAAGTAAAGGGCTGTTTAATTCGAAAACAATTAAGAAATCATGGCCGCATTTTTCACCCCTTCTGTAAACCCAGTTTTTTGTTCAACCCACACACCCAGTTTTTTCAGGATCTCACCTGAAACCATGGCCGCATTTGGGAGATAAGGGGCTGCACCTGTTAATCTGGGACCTATGCACCTAATTCTGGTGGCTCCGCCTCCGCTGCCGCCAGTGGAGTGGGTTTCTTCCTCCTTTTTCTCCACTGGGGCCTCTGGTTCAGGCGGCGGGAGTGGAGTGGGTTTATTCCTCCTTTTTCAACACAGGGAATGGTGGATTTGGGAGGTGGTTTTGGGCGGCGTGGGGGCTGAAGGCTTTTTGGTGTGGAGGATAAAGGCTATTGCCGACACAAAGGCGGAGGCGGTGGTGGTGCCGGCACAGAGGTTGTGGTGGTGCCGGCTGCCATTGTTGTTGGAGAGGAATAGAGAGTTTTTATTTTTTTTCTATTTTTTTGTTTATTTATGTAATTTGTAAGAATAAGTAAAATTCCTATTTTGCCCTTTTCAATTTGGTAAAAATTGAATTAATTTTGACTTTTTGGGTTGACTAACGGAACCATCCATTTGGACCTCCGTCGCATATTTATTAAAGGTTTGGGACCTCCGTTGGCACAAATCAAAGGTTAGGGTAAAGTGCGCAAAAATCTGAAAGATTTGGGACCGCAGCTGCAATTATCCCTACATTTTAAAATTTTTAATCACAATCTACTAAAAATTTAATTTTAATTCTCAACATTTACTCACATCCTCCCGTGGGACACGCGGCTGACGGAGTGGGTGTCAAATCCTCGCTAGTCGCCAGCATTGTTCTTTAAGCCCCCGTTTGAATCTCCTTTTTTTGGGTAATTTTCATTTTGCTATAGTGGATTTGTACTTAAAAAACAGAAACAGTAATTATTTTGTCAGAGTACATATTTCTTGCCAGTTGACCGTTGCCGAGAAACTACCGATTTTGCCCTCCACTACATTGGCACTAGTGAACAACACACCTCAAATGGAAGGGCATTTTTGGGATTTACGTAAATAATGGTACCAGTTTTTGTACACTAAAAACGTGTAATGAAATGGTGTGGATTTACGTAAATAATGGTACCAGTTTTTGTACCCTAAAAACGTGTAATGAAATGGTGTCAGGACATGTTGACAGATTGAAGGACATTGGGGCCCACACACAACTCAGGTTCCTGTTAAAAAAATGAACTGATAATTGAGTTCATTTTCAACTCCCAAGCACACTTTCCTTCCAACTTATCAGTCATGCTGAAAGGTAAGCCCTCACCACACCACGCCCACCCTGGTTTATCCTCTTTCTTTCTCCTTGCTTGCTAATCCCATTTTGATCTCGTTTAGATGGCATCGTCAAGGTCATTTTGGCACACATCCTGGCTGCAGCCGCCTACGGAATTATCTCGGCCGGGGTTATGCATTACAGCCAGCGGAAGTCTAAATCCACGTCGAAAGAGAGCAGTCTTGCTCCGTATTTGGATCGAACCGAGTCGGGTCGTGTCGGGAAAATTGAAAGATTTTCGCATTATGTTGGTAAGTTTCTTCGACCATTTTTTGTCAAGAAAAAAGAGTAGAAGTTTTACAATGAAACATTTTATGCAGCAAGGCAGCTGGGATTTAAAGATGAAAGTGAATGTCCAGAGGTGATGAAATTGGCTTATGAATACTTGAAAAGATCTGAAGGATGTGATGATAAAATGTATGAGTATTTGGCGAAAGAAGCAAATGCTGAAGAACTTTATGTGAAATTGGTGGAGGAATTTGAGAGATGCATCATTGGATATTTTGCCTTCCATTGGAGTCAAGTTCCTCTCATGATAACTCAGGTACTTATGCTCATCCCTCTCAAAATACATGGAAATCGATGAGGGATACTTGGTTCCTATTCAAATTACTTTGATTTCTTTTTAATTGCTTCGTCAAAAGATTTTCGCCCCTATCGTGAAAGCTACTGTGAAAATGAAATGTAACGGATGGATATATGGATAATCTATTCCTTCTTCAATTATAATTTGCAGGTATTAAGTGTGAACTCTCATCAGAAAAAGCTCAAGGATTTAGTAATGGCAGCTACAAGGTGAGTATTGTAAATTGGCCATTATTAATTTAGTAGTGGAAAAGTATGGGTATACCATACCTGATGTGACACATATTATATGGAATTAATACTTCCAGCTGGGAGACTGGGACATAACATTATCTTTTGAATAATTACTTCTACAAAAAGAAAAAAAATGAAAAAATAGATAATTTATCCATTCACCATTATTAACTAATAAAATTTTAAAGTGATACTCACTTATGCAAAGTGTCAAACGTGATTTGCAATGAAGAAATTCTGGAAAATATTCTTGAATTCTTAATTTTTCATTCACTGGGAAAACTATATATAGATACACATACAGGACCTAGAAGAGAACGCTTCCTAATTTAAAAGATTACTAGAAGACTACCTAATTTAAAAGATATTTCTGTTATTACATCAATATGGTAAACAATCAAGTGTGATTCCCTGTATACGCCTCATGCCGACAATCCCCCTCAAGTTGGTGCATAGATATCTATCATGTCCAACTTATTAATAGTATCGTGGAACACCCTTCCCGAGATTGCTTTCGTAAGAACATCAGCTAGTTGATCTTCAGACTTAACAAACGGAAATTGTATGACCTTTTGATCAAGATTCTCCTTGATAAAGTGACGATCAATTTCCACATGCTTAGTACGATCATGTTGAACTGGATTTTGAGCAATTTCAATAGCTGCTTTATTGTCACAGTGTAGATTCATTGGTCTCTCATAGTCAATTCGCAAATCTCGTAACACATTTTTAACCCACAACAACTCATATACACCGTAGGCCATACCCCGAAATTCAGCTTCCGCACTTGATCTAGCTACAACTTTTTGTTTCTTACTTCGCCAAGTAACTAGATTACCTTCAACAAAAATAAAGTAACCTGATGTAGACCTCCTATCTAATTTATCCCCAGCCCAATCGGAATCCGTATATCCTTCAATGCCCGAGGCTCCATTTTTTGAGAATAATAAACCTTTTCCAGGTGCACTCTTCAAATACCGTAAGATTCGATATACTGCATTCATATGCTTTTCACCTGGTGCATGTATAAATTGGCTTACAACACTTACTGCATAAGCTATATCTGGTCTTGTGTGAGACAGATAGATTAGTCTTCCAACCAACCTTTGATATCGTCCTTTGTCAGCTGAAATTTGACTTACGGATTCTCCAAGTCTATGATTCATCTCTATAGGTGTCTCGGGTGGCTTACAATGCATCATTCCGGTTTCAGTTAAGATGTCTAACACATATTTCCTTTGCGAGAGAACAATGCCACGTTCCGACCTCGAGACTTCAATTCCCAAGAAGTATTTGAGTTGACCAAGATCTTTTTCATTTCAAATTTAGTTGCAAGATATTCCTGTAAAGCCTTCCTTTCATCGGGATCATCTCCTGTCAAGACCATGTCATCTACATATACAATTAACGCTGTTATCTTTCCTTCCTTATGTTTTATAAATAGTGTATGGTTTGAATTGCTCTGCTTGTAACCAAACTCCCTCATTGTGGACGAGAATCTTCCGAACCAAGCTCGAGGTGCCTGTTTCAGTCCATATAATGCTTTCTTCAATTTGCATACTTCAGTTCTTCTTGAAGGTTTGCAATTAATTCCGGGTGGTAGCTCCATGTAGACTTCCTCCTCTAAGTCTCCATTAAGGAAAGCATTTTTTACGTCAAACTGTTGCAATGGCCAATCTCTATTTGCTGCGATTGATGTAAGAATACGGATTGTATTAATCTTGGCTACCGGTGCAAACGTCTCTTGATAGTCGATCCCATACTTCTGTGTGTATCCTTTCGCAACTAACCTTGCTTTATATCTATCAATACTACCATCAGCCTTGAGTTTAACTGTAAACACCTATCTACACCCGATTGTTTTCTTTCCTTCAGGTAACGAGCGAAGTTCCCAAGTATTGTTTTTTCGAAGGGCCTCCATTTCCTCATTCATAGCCATGGTCCAGTTGGAATCTGCTAGAGCATCTTGTACACTACTAGGAACAGATACATTGGACAATTGATTAACAGTTAGTGCAAATGATTCAACTAATCTATGGAGAGACATATGGTTACTAATTGGGTACTTTGTCTTGGTTTTAAGGTGTAGATAGGGGCAAATCAGCATATAAATTTGGGAGGTTCTGATCACTGCCAGACATCAAGGTGTTGGAATTAGGATTGATGGGTTCTACAGTCCTAAGCTCTCGAGTCTCTTTTTCTGTTGTAGGTAATGTTTCATGACCGTGACCAGTAGGTACCACAGCAGAGGAGGAGAAATCTTCTATTTCAAATAGTTCACTTTCATCATATTTATAAGGTAAGTTCTCTTCACTAAAGCTCTTCCCCTGAAGAGAAGACCCAGAGGGTATCCCTGAATAATATGGTTCGGACTCACGAAAAGAAACATCCAGGCTAACATGTATCTTCTTAGTGTGGGGATCATAACACCTGTAGCCTTTTTGAAACTCTGAATAGCCAACAAAGACACACCGTTTTGCACATGTATCCAATTTACTTCGTAGAACTTTAGGAGCCTGTTTGGTAGGAATTTTTGGGGGAAGGATTGATTTTGAATAGTGATATGATGGGAAATGTGTGGTTGGAAAAGAAGAAAAAAGTATTGATGTGATGGAAAATATTATTTTATTGAAGAATGTGTGGTTGAAAATGAGAATTGATTCGAGAATCAGAAACAAACAGGGCCTAGGTATATGAACATATACCGTACACCCAAAAATGCGTGGTTCAAGGTTTGGGAGATGAGGAATAGAAAGAAGCGATTCCATCTTCTGTTGAGGAGTTTGAAAGTTTATCACGCGAGATGGTGTTCGATTAATCAAATACGCCGCTGATTTTACTGCCTCACCCCAATAATACTTAGGCATATTCATACCAAAGAGTGAAGCCCGAACTATCTCTAGTATTTGCCTATTTTTTCTTTCTGCTAGTCCATTCTGTTTTGGAGTATATGTGCAGGAAGTTTGGTGTCGAATCCCCTTTTGACTTAAGAAGGTACTTAAAATGGCATCCACAAATTCTGTACCATTATCAGATTGTAAAGTTCAAATCTGTCTTTGGTATTGAGTCTTAACCATACTATAGAATTCCTGAAAAACCATGCACACATCACTTTTATTTCGAAGGAGAGATACCCACGTCATCCGAGTACATTCATCAATAAAAGTAACAAAATAACGAGCTTTAGAAAAAGACTGAATTTTCGCAGGACCCCATACATCCGAGTGAATCACCATAAAAGGTACCGAACTTTTATTCAAACTTGGCAAATAAGAAATGCGATGACTCTTAGCCAGTTCACAAGTTTCACAATGAAAATCAACATCATCTAACTGAGAAAATAAATGCAGTTTTAATTTTCTAAGGTAACCAAAAGAAAGATGTCCAAGCCTTCGGTGCCACAACCAAACAGTTTCCCTACTCTTATCTTTGCCATTTGTTTGATATGCCTGACTGAGCTTCGACCCCCATTTTTCAGTTAATTCCAAGTAATAGAGTTTGCCCCGTCTAACACCATAACCAAGAATCTTTCGAGTTAGAATGTCCTGGAAGACACAAAAAGATGGCCAAAAAGTTACGGTGCAAGAAAGGCTAGAAGTGATTTTGCTAACAGAGAGAAGATTATATTCAAGAGAAGGAACTACAAGTACAGTATCCAATGTAAGGGTGTCAGATAAAATGACGGATCCCTCCCTAGTAATAGGAGAGGTACTACCGTTGGCTGTAGAAATACCTGACTAAGATGAAGGGGTAAAAGATTTTAATTGACTAGGGTCTCTTGCCATGTGATCAGATGCACCTGTATCAATAATCCATATACTATTCTTAGAAGTGACATGGAAAGCATTACTCAGCATACCTGGGTGTACAACATTTGCAATATTTGCCATCGGTTGCATTGATTCCTCTACCGTGGATGCTATCGTAGCTTTCCCAGCAGTATTTTTTCGAGGTTTCTTCGTAAAATCCCACCATTCAGGGTAGCCTATGATCTCGTAGCACTTTTGTTTTGAATGGCCAGTTACACCACAATGGGTACAAATCAGCCCTTTAGAAGATTGCTTGACGTTATTCTTTGATGGACCCCCTGGATATCCTTGGCGAGTCCGATTTGCTAACATGGCTGAACTTTCTGAGATTAAATTAGTGCTCCCCATAGTTTGTCTCTGCTGAAATTCCCTTCGAACATAGGCATAAGCACTCTCAAGATCAAGTTTTAGGTCCTTCCGCAAGATTTCTCGACGCACCTGTGTATATTCAGAGTCGAGTCCACTGAGAAAGATATGAACTCGAAATCTAGTCATAGCTGAATGCAATTGGACAATTCCTTCAACTGTTCCCTCCTGAGAAGTGGTTCTATGATCAATATCCTGAAAAATAGCAACAAGTTCATTATAATATGTTGAGAGTGGGCGGCCATTTTGCTTGGTAGAAAAAGATCTCTGGTTCAATTCAAAAAGGCAGGTTTCATCGGATCCATGATAGAATGTTCAAGCCACTGCCTCCCATATTTCCTTCGCCGTGGAAAGGCGAATAAATCGCTGCATTAACGACGGACTCATTGCATCTATAAGCCAGCTCTTGACTCTATGGTTTTCAGTAATCCAATTCTCCAGTTGTGGATCTCCAGGTGCAGGTTTCACTATCTTTCCGGTGAGATACCCGGCCTTGTTACGAGCATCAATCCGCATCTCCATGAGTTGAGACCATAATTGGTAGTTATTCTCATCCAATATAACCCCAGTTGGGAAGGCAGAATTATCTTGTTGAACAAAAATTTGTGGTGCTGGAATTATTGGTTGCGGAGTTGTGGTGGGGATGGTGATTGTGTCTGGATTCATTGCCATGGAGCTGGCTGTACGAGTTCGGAATGCGGAATACAGAATACGAGTATGAAAAAAAAAAATCAGAGTTGCTCTGATACCATGTCAAACGTGATTTGCAATGAAGAAATTCTGGAAAAATATTCTTGAATTCTTAACTTCTCATTCACTGGGAAAACTATATATAGATACACGTACAGGACCTAGAAGAGAAAGCTTCCTAATTTAAAAGATTACAAGAAGACTACCTAATTTAAAAGATATTTCTGTTATTACATCAATATGGTAAACAATCAAGTGTGATTCCCTGTATACGCCTCATGCCGACACTAAGTTATTTTTGTATAGTAATAATCGTACAAGTTTTTAATAACTATATTAATGATCATTCTGTCAAAAATATTAATGTTAAATTCTGCATTGCATCATTAATAGCTAATATATTATCAAATAAAAGTATTTATTATGCGAAGTCAACAAAAAAAATGGTTAAAAGAACATGAATTTACCATACAATTTAAGTCAAAATATTTCACCAAAATTTAAACTACATTATGTTTTTTATCATTTGAATGTATCTACTTTCCAATGCCTAATTTTTCAATTATTTTGGACTTGGTGTAATAAATAATACGGTTGGTGCCATGTTGCCTTGAAAAACGCCAAATAGTATTTAATGTTAATTTTTTCGACTTAATGACTATTGGTGTAATCTTTAAAAACTTGAATGACATCATGGGTGTGCAACCATAATCGAGATATTCTTCACCCATTCACAAGCTACCACGGGCATAAAAAATGGTCTGAACTCATATGATTATGGGTAACCTAAGTTGAATCTTTTTTTAAGTAGATTGATCTTTTATGATACAGATGATCATTTACAAAGACAACTATAAAGCATATTTAATCAGTTATGTTATTATCTAAACTCTTATCCCAATGTATTAATCTTATTTTAGAAGTTTTGAGGAAAGAAAGTGATTGTTAGAAGTTCAAAGAGAACATATTGAAGAAAATTTTTTATTTTTGATTTTTGATAATCTTACGAAAAGGAGAAAGTTTTCTTTCAAAGGAACAAATTGTCCTTGCACACTTCAATAATTTACATCCTCTATGCCCATGAGGAGCATGGGGCTTGAGTTATTTAAAAACAGGGAATCTGCTCTTTACCAAGTGACGACTTAGTGCATCAATAATTTAAAGATATTGTGTGCACGAGGTGCATGCGACCTCATCTTTTAAAAAGCACACTGACATAATTGTACAATAATATAAACTCATACAACAATAATGCAAGTTGACATTGTAGAATAAATCTTTTTTATTATAAAATAACATTATTCTATTAAATTGTGAATTTAGGAACAACAACGTCACAGGGTTCCTAAATTTGCATTTGGTTATAGTTCTCCATCTAAGTTACATGGCAGTCTATGACGGTACCACCAAGAGTGTTCTTCAAGTGCATAATGGTCCTATGACTCTTGAAAGGGATGTTATGTATCTTGAAAATAATTTTTGGATCAATACCATGCTCTCTCCAAAAACCATATTTATTTTGTGGATTTCCCACATTTGTTCTCTACACACTATTCCTTTAGGGGTTATGAGTATTTGCAAGTAATTCTAAGGCTCTGTGTGGGTCTTCCAATATAGAGCTGTCACAAAGACCGTTGAAAATAATCATCATTATACAAATTTGGGGGGATTGACCGACTTAAATTTTTGGGTTTGCTAATGTTTTCCATATAAGCGTAAATGTCGTCTTGAAATCTTGTGACATAATAGAGGGAAAGTTGTTCCCATGGAGCATCATCCTCTGTGTCTAGCAAAATTTATGGAGGAATTTTCGAGTTGATTTCTGCTTAACATGTGAAAAGTGGTCATATGCTTCTGATTTTGTGAAATACCTTGCCTTTGGAGTGGAAGGAAGTCCTCAAAATTTTAAATAGCAGAGTAAATATTTTGAACACTTGTGCTCAATGAGAAAGTGTATAAAATCATTCGAGAAATTTGCGTGCATATTGGTGACTTTCTAAGATGATGTTGGGCTGATAATTGAATGTAGATAACTAGTACAACACTTTATTCACCTGAAAATTTATGGCAATTGATAATTTTCTGGCAAATACTATAAAAAACATACGAGTTCTTTTGAAAAGGTAGAGGGAGTTTGGTCAGGTTCGATGTTAAACAAGTTAAAGAAAGGATGATCAGGTGAAGCCTTGATCCTCCTAGAGTCTGAACTCCATATTTTCTAATAACTAGGGATTGATATTTAAGTATTGGGTTATTTGCTTTAGAATGAAGGGTTTTGTTCTCTAAGAGGGAGTGTTCTGGAGGAAGGTGAAATCTAATAAAAATATAAAAAATTATCTTCAAGATAGTGAAGATCTCTTTTAAGGCTCACATGACCCTTATGTACTTGAAGAAGATCCTTGGTGGTATAGCCATGTGACTCAAATGGAGAACCAACACTGAAAGCAAATCTAGGATTCTCATAACTTTATTGTACTTAAATTCCCACTTTAATATAGTAATATGTTGTTTTGTAATAAAGAAGATTCTTTCTACGGTGTCAATTTGTACTATTACTGTACAAATCTGTGTTATTGTACGATCGTGCCAATATGCTTTTTAAAAAGACTAAGTCTTGTGTACCTCGGGTGTGTACATTTAAATTATTGGTCTACTAAGTCTATAACTCTGTAAAAAAAACAAATTCATATCTTTTGAACAAGACAAGTCTCATACTCTTTGTGGACACATTGGATGTAAATTATTGAAGGACAAGGAAGATTTCTTTCCTTTAAAAGGTGTCTTCCTCCTCCTTGTTAGATTATCATAAATTAGAAATAAAAAACCTTCTTCAATAAGTTCACTCTGAATTTCTAAACAACAATTGTCTTTCCTCAAAACTACTAAAATAAAATTAATACAATGGAATAAGGGTTTAGATCATAGCAGAACTCATTCAGTATGCTCTGTAGTTCCCTTTGTAAAGGATCTTCTGCATTAGAAAGATCACTTTGTTAAACAAAAGATCCAACTTGGGTGAGACATAATCGTAAGAGTCCAGGTCCTATTTCATGCCCGTGATGGCTTGTGTGTGAGCCTCGGTTATGGTTGCATATTTTGTAGGATTTATAGCTTATAAATAGTATACTTAACAAGCACATGATTACATTTCGATTATTATTTACAAGATGAAAAAAATGAGTTCCACTTTACTAATCTTTATACGTTAAGAGGCATTGCTAGCCACATTTCTGTATAAAAAAACTTTATTACATATTCTTTTTCTTTTTCAACTATCTATGTTATCTTCCACTATGACAATTTTTAATCCAAATTGAATAAGCCATGCAGTTACCCTGTCCTAATTTTTCAGGCAGGTTTTAAATCGGTGACTGGATTTTAACCTCTTTTAAATTAATAATCAATTTTAGGATTCGTTTCAATTTATTTCCACATTAATAACCCAACGTTGAACTTTTGTTTTGTGATCACTATTTTAGTGAACTAGCAAGTCATAACGTTGAAGCCAAATCGTAAGGAAACCATTTCAACTACAAACTGTTATAAAATCACCAAAAGCTGCTCTATAGATTTTACCAGAGATTGAATTTTATGTTCGATGAACACTCGCGAGATTTCTGGGGAAGATGATCATTTCCTTTTTCCTATTTTTGGTTAATTGAGATGCATTTGAATTACAGGAAACAGAGATTTGAGAAAATAAGCAAGGACCTGAAACTGACAAGGATTTTCTCTACACTGGTGGAGGAGATGAAAGCCATTGGAACCACAACAAATGAAGAATTAAATCAATCGGAGGTGATGGTGCCAGTTGCTCACAATGAAAGAAGTCCGCTGCTCCTCCTTATGGGTGGTGGAATGGGTGCTGGCAAGAGCACCGTCCTCAAAGACATTATGAAAGAGTAATTATCAACAGCCCCTTTCAATTCTGTTAACTGTTGGAGAAACGGGATTTTGGATAGTGATAATTTTGTGGAATTAATTTAATTTGAGTTTGGACAACTGATGTTACTATTAGAGAAGTGGGATTTTATAGATCAATCATCTTATGGAATCAATTGATTTGTTTTAGTGCTTTTTGGATAACTGATCTATACAAATTTTATCGCAAAATGGAATAGTTTAAAGTGTTTGTAATATTGTCCCAATGAAGACTATTGTGTTATTAAGACGAGCAAAATTGAAGCTGGTATCGATAATTTGAAATGAATATGCTATTCGGCAGATCATTCTGGGCAGGAGCCGCAGCGAATGCAGTGTTAGTGGAGGCAGATGCATTCAAAGAGTCGGATGTCATCTATAGAGCTCTTAGCTCCAAGGGTCATCACCAAGACATGCTTCAAACTGCAGAATTGGTATTTTTCTCTTCATTGAATAAATAAGTACCCACGTGATTGTTTCGTCTACTTCAAAATTTTACCTTATATATATATATATATATATATATATATATATATATCAAGATGAATTGAATGTAATTTCGAGCCTTACCAACTTGAATGCATCACAAAGAGACGTTCAATTAGGTCAATGCTTAGTGCAATCACAATTCAGTTCACATTCACAATGAATTTCTGTCTTCATGAGTTAACAAGTCGATGACTGAAAGACAAGGGAACTAGAGAGTTAAAAAATACAACTCAAGGAAATCACTTGATGCGGCACTGTAGAAGCCAATAGCTTGTGACTTGTGAATGTGTTGCTTATTGGGATGATGATGGTGTAAACACATAAAATGTTGAAAAATTGCTTATTTTAGGTGAAAAAATGGACGACATTCCAAGTCAAAAACTTATTTTAGCTGAAAAATGAATAGTTGTTTGATTTGATTGCAATTATTTTTCTTCTTATTAGAGCTTTCAAAAACAAATATGATTAGGGTTTTCGTTACTAACAGAGAACTGAATTGAATACGAAGTGATTAAAGTTTACGTTTCCAGATTCCTCTTGTTTTTCTACCTCTCTTGTATCTATACCATGCTGCATACTCTGATATGTCATGTATTTGATTTCCCGGAACTGATATTTTCATTAAATAGGTCCACCAATCATCCACTGATGCTGCATCGTCACTCTTGGTAGCCGCACTAAATGAAGGGCGTGATGTGATCATGGACGGAACCCTATCATGGATACCGTTTGTTGAGCAGACAATTTGCATGGCAAGAAATGTACACAAACACCGGTATCGCATGGGAGAGGGTTACCAGGTTGCAGAGGATGGTACTGTCACTGAAAATTACTGGGAGCAGATTGAAGGAGAAGAGGGAGAAGAAGCTAAGATCAGAAAACCATATAAGATAGAATTGGTTGGAGTTTTCTGTGATGCCTATCTGGCTGTTGTTAGAGGTGTCAGGTAATATCCAAAATTCAAGTAGACGTTTAATGGTTTCTCAGCATTTCAATTTTTTATGTCAAAAATAGTCTTATAAGGCCAATTGAATGCTCTGGATGTTGTTAGCATCTTTTAGTCTTTCATCTAATAATATTTCTGTTTATTTCTCGCATTTATCAGTTTTCTATTTTTCCTTTATAAATCGCTGCAGAAGAGCAATCCAAATGGGTAGGGCAGTGAGGGTAAAGTCACAGTTGAAGTCCCACAAAAGATTTGCTAGTGCATTTCCAAGATACTGTCAACTTGTTGATAATGCAAGGCTATATTGCACAAATGCTCTAGGAGGTCCTCCAATGGTAAACAGTTTCTGTGTACATAATTTACTTTCCTTTCTCAGATTTTCACTTGTTGCGACAGTATTTCAACATCTCATTTTATTCTAGATCATTGCATATGAGCTTTCATTTAAAGGTTCACTTATTAAATTTAAACAAAGTGATTCATTTTATGAACACAAGGGGAAAACAGAGATTTTTTTCTTCCGTTATTTTGCTATATACTAGCCTATTTTGGACATTTTCCTTCTTTAAAACTCGTAGCACTCTTATGATCCTCTTTTTGTTTAGAGGAAAATTCAAACTAAAATGTAATGCATGTTGCTAAACTTGCATCACTGTAATTCAATATACTTTGTATGACGGTTGTGTTGAAATTAATTTATTACAGTTGATAGCATGGAAAGATGGAAACAGTAAGCTATTAGTTGATCCGGATGAAATGAAATGTTTTGCTTCAGTAAGCAATTTGAATGACGAAGCAGAAACCATATATGAACTCTATAGAGAGTCAGACTATATAACTCAGCCGGGTTCTGTTTGGAAAGATATAGTTTTGTTGCCAGAAAGGGGAAGTCTTCAGCTGGAGCTGAAAACTGCCATTCAAAGAATCGAAGTTCATATTTCTTAGATGGGGGATTTGCAGTCTTAAAAAATACTGGTGATGTTATCAACAATCCTTTTGTTTACTTTTATGTTATTTATGTAATTATATTGGGTTCACAACTTTTGTGTGACATCATGTAGTGTTCCATTACATGATTATTATATATAATTATAATATTTGTCCTTATATTTAACTCTTTATTCATAAATTTGATTTTGTCACGACTAATTATATTTTTGCATAGGGATGCACCTCGGACACCTTACATGATCATCGTGCCTATAAAGTAAATTATAAGATAAATCCACCTATAAAAGTAAAGTATAGATATATACCAAAATCGTTATCTATTCATTCATGTCAAAAATAGCATGGAGTCAAAATATACTACTTAACCTTATGTTATTTGGGGTTAGGCACACAAGGAACTATGCTTATTTCTTTTATTTTGATATCATTTTATGATCAAGTTTATCCTTGTTGGACCCCGAAGTCCGACCTAATTCAAAATGTGCATATTATGAGTACTTAGCTCGTATAAAATTCAGATCGGATCACTAATGTCATCTCGTACCTATGACTGCCATAATTCTAACGAGAAGCCATTTTCCCTTATAAATAGAGAGATGGTCCCCTCCAAAAGGGGCGAAGCCTTAACCTCACAACTTCAATAAAAACACTACTATTTCCACTCCTCCTATAAGGAGAATGATAAGTGTATTTTATACACTTATTCGAGGTCTAAAATAACAATATTTGATAGTTCTTTTCACAAAATATATCCTAAATTTTTGCATTTTAATTTATATAGGTAAAACTCAATGGTTGGACGAGGAATGGAAAGAAAGAAGCGAAAAATGGTGAAAAATTGCACAATTTAAAGTTTGAGGATCAAATTACAAATTCAATAGTTGATTTGGATCACAAGATGATACTTTGAAGATGTTTAGGAGACAAATGGGTGGAATTAGAACTCAAAAAGGAATGGATTTTATCACAATCAATATCTAATCGCACAAGTTATATTTCAGATTTTTAGTCGAAGATTGAGACCCTTTTTTGGTATCGTAAACGTCCGAATTCAGAAATTTATATTTCTACAAAAGTTGTAGCCCTTTAAGTTATATTTCTACAGCACTTTGAATCTCTTCAATCGGAGATCATAAGAGAAAGTTATGGCCAAAATACTGACCGCTGTGCAGAGATAAAAAATCTGCTCGCGAATGCAACTTTCCTTATCCGATTAGAACTCTTTTGGAAGTCAATTTGGACGTGATTTTCTACCAATTTTCGACTGCTACAAATAGAGGACAGCAGAATATATATTGGGAGAGGGGATGCACATATTATAAGCCATTATTCATCAATTATTTTCATCAAAGGAGGAGAATTCATAGTTTTTGTGAGAGAATTGATGGAGATTTGCAAGAATTCATTCAAGTGGAGGTTCAAACCTAATTTTTGAGCAAAGAAGAGAAGGCGCAACTGGAGATTCATCAAGAAACCATTGAAGAGATTTAAGATTTCAAGATTTGTCTTCACGTTCTCAATTTATCAATAATCCGGGTTATGTCTTTTCACTTATATATGATTTCTTGTAATTTCAATATGTTAGACTAGATTTTTACATTGCTAAAGATATAGATGAACCCTTGTTTTGAAACTTTTAGCATTAATTAATTATTTTGACGTTAATTTGTTTGAATGCGTTGATATTTATTATGATTTAATTTGCTTTTCAATTAATTGGCCAATAGTTGAATTGTTTGTGAATTTTATTGTTATCGAGAGAGACAATAGAATTTTAGCACATAGTAATAAATATTGTGAGGTTCGATAGAAGATAGAGATATACTTCTATGCTTTGCATGGTTCATAAAGATGTTCTAGTTCGTTAATGCGTTTATCATGTTCGTATTTTTCATCGAGAGATAGGAAGGTCGCATGAGGGGAATATGTTTAATTGCTATCGAGAGAGGCTTTTAAATAAATTTGGAACTTTGACCAACTCGTATGATAACAACTTGTCAATTTAATTGTTATACTAATAGTGGATTAACAAGGGGGATTCTAGATCTTAACAATGCATCTCAATAATTTGATAAACTTTTACTTTAATTTATATTACGTGATAAATTAGATATAGATTTATTATAAATTATTATTGCTATTCGATTAAGGGTATTATTAACTTTAACTCGATCAAACACGTAGTCCTCGTTGGTTCGACACTTTACACACTACTATATTACTTGATCACGACCCCGGTCACTTGCGGTAAATCAAACGATCAGAGAACGCTTGCATTTGAAGGTCACCATTAGTGAAAAAACGTTTTTCTACTTTAAAGTTCGCTCGAAAATTTTTCCAACCAATTTTGACGTCAATAGTTTGGCGCTAGAAGGAAGACCTTATTTCCCTATAAAATACATGACAAAATACCGCAATGAGCCACAGTTAGGCATCAGGGAATCAATTCTAAACTCATCCTAATAAAACCCATGCCCACAAGATTTTCGGAGGAGAGATGTTCAAACTGAAGCTAGCAATCCTCAAATAACCATCATGAGAGAAGTCACTGAAAGGTTGACAAACATAGTCAATAGATTGGAACAAAACCAAGCTTATGATCCCTCGCCCTAATCGAGGTTGAATCCCCAACTGGGAAAAGAATCGACGACCTCCTACCAGGAGAGCCCTCCACTTTTCGCGAGAAAAATATTCCAAAAGCCGAACGACGAGGTCAGAAGTCCTTCCCTAACAATAGGACCAGTCACCAGAAAAGGTAATAGTGTGTTTGGCAAATTAGGCTCTCAGCACTCATTAACGCCTCGAAGCGAATATGTTGAGCTTAGTCTGAAACGTCCATTGGAGCTGGTGGAACCTGAAATGAGCGCCATAAAGAAGTGCATTACTGATCTGGAAGCTGAAAACAAAGGAATTGCGGAAGAATACCTCACTAAATGCCACTCCCCCTTTGTGGAAGACATTCTTGTTGAACCTTTACTTGAAAAATTGAATATGCCATAGTTGCTGGGCACGAGGGGGAGGAAGATCCCCTTAGTCACTTATACAAGTACACTTCGTGGATTGAACTACAGGAAGCATGAAACGCCATCATGTGCTACACTTTCCCATTAATGTTGGGAGACAAAGCTCAAAAGTGTTTCTGGAGGTTGCATTAAAGGTCCATAAGAAACTAGAACGACCTAGCCACTTCATTCCTAGCTCAGTTTATGGCTCATGTAATTGACACGGCGGCTCTGACTCCAAAATTGAGGCTCAACTCCAAAAGATGGGCCAAATACGCATAACCATCATTATTAAGTAATCTTCTAGCATCAATAGCAAATATCACACAAGATAGTAAAATTTTGTGCTGTCCAGTGAATATAACTTCAGGCTGTCCTGGTTGTTTTAAACACGACCTGCTTTTGAAAACAATCAACTGAAGCTCGATTTGTAGCTAAAAAGTCCATATCCAAAATAACACAAAATCATGGAATCCAAGAGGTATTAAATTTGCTTTCGTCTCGCGCTCATTTACCTTTATTCTACAATTTCGATATATTGCTAACAGTGATTCACCTACTGGTGTACTCATTACCAAACAACTGCCTAAAGATTTCGACTTTTGATTCGCATGTACAGCAAGTGCAAATGAAATAAAAGAATGTGTAGCTCCAGGTTCGATTAAAATACGAGCATCTTTATCAAAAATAGATAACATACCCATGATAACATCCAGTAACTCTTCTGTTGCCTGCTGAGTCATAGCATAAACCTTTCCTTGGTTCTTTGGTCGTACGGCTTGACCTTTCGGTTGAGTACCGCTACGACTTGCAATATTAGACTGGACCACACTGCTTGCACCTGCTCTATTAACCAAAGTGTCTCCTTGGGTTTGACTCGATCTCATACCTCCAATACTCCGTTAGGAAAATACTCCCTGCACATGCCACCCTCCTGTAATAAAAGAGGACAAATTCTTCTAATGTGTCCACCTTGGCATCAATTATAGCATACACCAACCCCTTTAAAATTTAAACACTCGCCAAGGTGAGGTCTTCTACATAACTGGCAATAAGGAAATCAGTTCTGCTAGAACTCCCGCCCTGTCTGGAAGTAAATATTCTTTGAGAAGAACCTTGAAAAAATCCCTACCTTTTTTATTTTGGTATGTTCTCCCTTAATTATAATTTGATAGCGCAAGCCATCATTTCTATCAATTTTCATACAATTTCGCAATAAAGAATTGTGAAATAATGAATATACCCACATCTTTAATACACTTCCTTTTATCCATTTTTGGTTCAAACTTCAATGAATCTATCTAGCCTGTTGTGACCCTTGTAAATTGGTCTTGTTACAGTAATTTTAGGCCTAAATAATGGATGTAATTAGGGTGTCAATGAGTCGAGTCGATTCGAGTTGAGCCGAAACTTTTTGTTCAGGTCGACTCAAGTAAAAATACTTTGAGTTTTTTTTTTTTTTGTTCGAGTCGAGCAAAAGTTTGGTAAAAAAATTTAGGCTTGATCCGAACTTTCGGCTAGGGCCTTAGCAAGCCGAGCAAACCCTAATCCTGCTCGATTTTTTTTTAAATTCGTGACAAATCTAAAATTTTTTAAAGAATTTAAAATTTGTGCAATTTATACGTATTATAAATAATAACTAAATATTAACATATAAAAAAATTACAGCTAAAATAAACAGAAAAAATAAAAAAATAAAAAAAATGGCATGTAAGTTTTTTTAAGGTTCACGAGGGCTTTTTTCGAGTCGAGCTGAGCCCAATTTGCTCGAGCCAGCGAGTCATTTTGCCATCCCTAGTTGTGATTGTGAGTTTGTACAGAGTTTAGGGTTCTTGAATTGTTTGTGGGTTAATGTTGAGTTCATCGGGATTTCTGTGGTTCTTGGACAAAATCAATTTCTGATTTCATTTATTTTTTGAGGAAGGCTATTGTTGCACATAGTGAAAGTCCTTACCTCTAAACCCCCAGATTAGCAATTGCTGAACTGGGTGA